ACCCCTATCCTAAAGACTGATGCGGAGCCAGGTGCACCATCTCCTGACCTGCTCCGTGATTACCCCCAATCTTTACAGAACCCCTCATGACCTGTTGCACAACTCCAGAGTTCCCTGAAATAGTTTGAAAACCACTATACAAACACACCCCACTTTTTTCGCCTCCTCTTCCGTCACTCACAATTCCCAGCTTATATGAAAAATTCCAGCTATAATCCTCAGGAACATGATGCTGCAATTTGTACTGTTGAATTTTTTAATTACTTTATTACTCCAGGCCTCAGGGTCATCCCAAATCTACTTTATGGTATTCCAACCTTTATCTGTACTAATAAGGTCTCCTAACTTTATTCCGTAAGTAAATAGCATGCTGCTATTTTTTGAGCCAAGAATGTAACATGCATATTTTAAAAGGTAGTCCCACACCAATCCTTGAGGATCTCCCTAGAAGCCTCTCTTCAGCTAGGTAGCTTCCCCTTTCAGCATTTTCAGTTGTAGTCGCCACTTCAGCCAATTCCTTACCTACTTTGTAATTCTCATAATAATCCCTGTCTCCCCCATCTTCCCCTGTGTTATCTCAGCAAATGCTTTTGGGAAGTCCAGACAAAGTAGATTTACCACATTCCCCTTATCTTTCTTCTGACAAAAATAACTCAATTATTAGAATCAGATTAACCTGCCATAATCTATCTTTCGCAAAACCATGTTGAACTTTATCCCATGTTCCATCTTCCTCCTTTTTTCTTTCCCTTGAAATTTGTTCTAATTTCTTACATACTATTGAGGTTGGACAAGCAGATAAGTTTTTTTTCTTCTTCTTAAATACAGATAACATACAAACACTATTCTGACATTATACACTGCCACTCTTGAGAGACAAATAAGTTTATCTAGTGGACACTGTAAATATGATTATAGCTGGCAGTGGTTTCCAGTTCTCATGAACTCAATTCCAGCATTTAGAGCAATATGGAAACACTCAGACTCAGAGTTATCACTCACAATTAAATGGCTTCATTTACAGATCTCACTAGTAGGCCTGTGAGAATAGGGAAGTATTCTATTTGCATTCGGATTTGGCCAATTCGGAGGACAGCGATTTGATTCGGTGGTGAGCAGAGCTTCTGTGAGCTTGTGGCAGAGCCCTCCTCCCCCCCACCACGCAGCACAGGGCAGCAGGGATCATCCCCCCACCTGGCACCCACATGACAGCTACCCCATGGCATGAGTGCACCATGGCTCAGCAGGGTGCTGCGTGTGGTCTGGGAGCTGGGGCAGCTCCAGCAGTCACCTGGAACATGGTAACGCTCAGCCCCAGCTCCCAGACCACGTGCTGCACCCTGCTAAGCCACACTGCACCTGCGCGATGGGGCCACGCAGGTGCCAGGCGAGGGGGAGATCCCTGCTGCCCCCCACTGCCCCACACTTCATGGGGGGGGGCACTGCCACAAGCTCCCAGAGGCCCTGATCTCTGCTGCTGCAGCCAGTGAGTGGGGGGCTTTTTAAGTGCCAGGATGCTAGGGCCAGGCGGGGATGGAGACAGGCAGGCACAGCCAGAGGAACCAGAAGAACCTACAGCCACCCAGCTGTGCCTGCCTCACCCCAACTGATCCGAATCTCCAAATCTTTTCCAAATCGATTCGGAGGCTTCGGATTTGACTCAGACCTTTTAATTGGTCTCCCGAGTTGATTTGGATTCAGAGATTCAGCCACCGAATCTCCTCCAAATCAAATTGGCTACTGAAGCTTCACACAGCCCTATTCACTAGTTCATGAAATCCATGCTCTCAACTTCATCTAACGTATACAGTGGTTTTTCTGCAGTCTTTGAATGCACTATTAGCACCCAAAATAACTTGTGAGTTTGGTAACAGCTTGGGTTAGCTTCAAGAGAGAAATGACACAGCCAAACACTATACCTAGGCTATCAAGGTACCACAACAGTGATTCCCAAACTAGGGGTGACAACTCTGAGTTGCAGTGCAGCAGTTGGGAGTCCCCACAGAGCAGGGGTCAGCAACATTTTTGGCCAAAGTGCCAAAAAAACACCCCAACCTCAACCCACACCTCAGCTTGGTGTGCTGGAGGTGCAAGGGACCCAATCCTTGTTGCTAGCGATGGATGCACATGCACCACCAGGTGGACGGCAGGGGAAGGCCCAGGCCCCTTGATAGCTGCGCTCCCTAAGACTCATGTGCAACCGCCACTGTGGAGCCAGTGCCAGGGCTCCAGACCCCTGTGCAGCTGTTTGCAGCCTGCCTGCCGCCCACTGCAGCTGCCCAGAGCTCAGGCTGACTGTAGCAGGCAGGCAGGAGGCTGCAAACAGCTTCAGTGGGCTCCAAAGCTCCAGCTGGGCTCTGTGGCAATGGCAGCTGCATGCTTGCCTCAGGGTGTAGCAGCCAGGAAGGAGCCTGGGGCAGCACAACCCTGAACCCTTCCCTGCCATCTGCCCAGAGGCATGTATACAGCTGCTACTGCCACAGAGCCTAGCTGGAGCTCAGTGCAACTGTTTGAAACCTCCTGGCTGCCTGCCATAGCTGGCCTGGGCTCTGGACAGCTGCAGCAGGTGGTGGGCAAGCTGCAAACAGCTGTACCATGTCCAGAGCACCTGTTAAATGGCAGTGGTGGCTGCACACACACAGACCTCAGGGTGCACAGTGAGCAAGGGACTGGGGTTGCACTGCCTGAGACCCCTTCCTGGCCGTGTGCTTGAGGCATGTGTGCAGCCACCGCCTCCATGAAGCCTGACGAGGGTTCTAGAGCCTGGTGCAGCTGTTTGCAACCTCCTAGCTGCCTGCCACATCCAGCCCGGGCTCTAGACAGCTGCTGCCTCCCGCCCCTGGCTTGCAGCCTCCCTGTCACCTACTCTGAGCAGCCTGTGTGCCATGGCCACTGACAGCTGCCCAGAGCCCAGGCCTGCTGTGGTGTACCAAGCAAAATTACCTTGAGTGCCATGCTCTGGCACACATGCTGGGAGTTTCTAACACCTGCCACAGAGCCTTTAATTTCTCTGAGTTTGCAATTACACCCTCTGTCTACAGTTAACAAGAATAAAGCTTTAGCATGCCTCAGCTGCTCCATAACTGTGCCTGTACCCATAACTGCTGCATGGCAAGAGCTAACCTGGGGCAGCTCCTCCCTAAATGAAAGAGGGCTAAGTTGCCCCCCTGTTTGGCTCTCACCGGCCATGTGACAGGGCATCAGTGAAGCAGCCACAGGACAGTCACTGGAGAGCAGAGGTGTAGCATGTCCACAGTTAGAGTGGGCCCTCGTGAACTGCAGTAACAGCCCCTATCCTAAACCAAAGCAACATAAACCTGTTTCATTCTGGGATAAGCTGATGTGGTTTAGCACTCAACCCAAGGGAAGAGTGGGCATAGGGACAGTTTACCACAGAACAACTGACACACAGTAAGTCACTGTCCCTGCTTACTTGTCAGTGCACAAATAACGTAAGTATGGGGATCCATGAAATTATCCAAGTTGTGTCATGACTGGAAAAAAATTGGGAACTGCAGTACTGGAGCCATAGTCTCATTCTCAGAAGGATAGGACAGCACAAAGTACCTTCCCTCTTCAAATCCTATGATGATCAATTTGGCATTGATGTGAGCCTAGTGACCATGTACAGAGTTCCATGCATCCATCTAAACATACAGACCCATAAACCTCATACCTAGGCATGTACAAGCTAATAGATAGTACAAAGTATTGTGTCAACCATTTTGGTCTCAGCCAAGGGCCATATTACAAGAACTCAACATGTGATGATGTCTAAAACAGGGCCTATAGTGTTTAGGAGTGGTTCAAAGGAACACAAACCACTATTGTACCTGAATTGGATTATTTCTTCCACTGCTACTTGCTAACTTGAGTGTACAGTGTAGGTATACTATACTATCGGGGAGGGAAGTCTAACTGGCAGCCCACAGCTCCTGACCAGCCACCACTCTCCCCCTCTGCCTATTGGTGCAAATGCAACAGCAGCTGGAGTCTTTGGGTTTTCCCCTTCCTCCTCCAGCTGCTGCCTCCCACCTCTGTTCCAGGGGTTGTGTGCTGGGGGTTGGCAGGCAAGATAAGCAGTGCAACAGCTGGAGGGGGGAGGAAGCACCTACTGTAGCAGTGACAGGGGGTGCCTGCATGGGTGCAAAGATGCAGCAGGAGGTGGGGGATTGGAAGAGTGTCTACTGGGCCTAAAGCTCAGTGACCCATGCTTCACTTAGTGCAGCCTACACAGCATGCAGCGCACAGGAGCCTAGAAGTAGGACAGCCCTGTTGTAGGGAGAAAGTTGGAAAATGTGTTTAAAGTGATAGGCACTTCTCAGAAACTAAAAATATGTTTATCAGTGGAACAAGGGAATTCAGCTTTCTGGGAGTAACGGCTGAAATCTGTATGTGAGCTCAGCTTTCTGTGTAACAACTGCAACTAGCATGGGAACTCAACAATTAGGGTGTCCTGTTTATATATTTTTGGATTAAAAAACATTTTTATTTAATTATTTATTTTACACACAGACAGACTTAAGTCTCTTTGTAACAATCACATTATAGCAGGAATACTAAATAAACTCTACTAAACCTACATTCATACAAATTTTATTTTTTAATAAATATTTGCAAACAATCTTGCAATTGTGTGTACAAAAAAAAGCCCCAGGCAGTATTAGAAGCACTGCAATCCTATATTATCTAAGAAGGAAAGGGAACTCCTTGTTCACAGTGTCTAGTAACAAGTTCCATCCAATTTTTTAAAAACATTCTTGGCTTTAAATCTTTATTTCGAGTAAAAATAAGATGCATTTGCTTCTGGTGCTCTCTAGCATTTTAAAAAGTTTTCTGGTTTAAAAAAAAAATACAACCCCCCCCAACAACCTTGTTCAAAGATAGTCTCATATACAATTTTCATCTTATAATATATTCTCTACTTAAGACAGATAACTGAAAACTACAGCTAAATTATTATTTCCAGTAGCTTGTGTAGATATGAATGGACAAATTACCTTCTGATAATCATTCTGTATGTTCCCAAACTTCTGCTGTGCTAGCTTTCTGATGACCTCTGAAAATAAGAAAGAGCATTTCTGAGTTTCAGACAGCATAAATTAGCAAAATTGTTAGTAAATGATACAGCTAGGTATGACTAATTAGATAAGAGCCCTGTTTTATTCTGGAATAACGTGATGTGGTTTTGCACTCAACCCAAGCGTAGGGTGGGCATAGAGACAGTTTATCACACAACAACTGACACGTAGCAAGTCACTGCCCTGCTTATTTGTTAGCGTACAACTCAGAAGTGTCATGAGAATGCTGGGAGACAACCAGATTAATCAACTTGGTAGTGAGAAGCCTTTTTT